GCATGGGTGAAAGATCCACTCAAAGTTCAAGACTGGCCAAAAAGTTCTATAATATGGCTTCACTTTTCACACTGCAATTAACTTCTAAGAAAATACCACTTGTTGGGTATTATATAATACCAAAAATACTTTTCCCTTTTCCAACTACAATTTTTGTCTAAGGCCAGAATTTCTTCATATTCTTTCATCAAGATAGCATATCACAGGTTGAATGCCAAAGAAGACAGATCTTGTTTCTATTAAGACAAATCTTGTTTCTATTAAGACAGGTAGTAAAGAGATTTGCAAAAGCGTAAAACAAGGCCATTTTTTCTCATTAGCTTTCTGAAATTATGGTTATTAGTCTTTAAAATAACCAATTTTTAAAATTTCTCAGGTTTAATTTACATTTTGGTAAATATCAACAGATAAAACCCATGTAAACAAAAGTTTTCTGGGGTCCTCAGTAACTTTTTAGAGTTTGAAGAGACCAAAAGTTTGAAAACTGATGATATGGTCATTCCCAATTCCTGAGACTCTAAAGTATTAATAGGAAAACCAGCAGACTTGGCATGATATAAATACAGAAATAGGACACCTTATCTTTGACAAAGGAGGCAAGAATATACAATGGAAAAAAGACAACCTCTTTAACAAGTGGTGCTGGGAAAACTGGTCAACCACTTGTAAAAGAATGAAACTAGAACACTTTCTAACACCATACACAAAAATAAACTCAAAATGGATTAAAGATCTAAATGTAAGACCAGAAACTATAAAACTCCTAGAGGAGAACATAGGCAAAACACTTTCTGACATAAATCACAGCAAGATCCTCTATGACCCACCTCCCAGAGTAATGGAAATAAAAGCAAAAATAAACAAATGGGACCTAATTAAACTTAAAAGCTTTTGCACAACAAAGGAAACTATAAGCAAGGTGAAAAGACAGCCTTCAGAATGGGAGAAAATAATAGCAAGTGAAAAAATATACAAAGGATTAATCTCAAAAATATACAAGCAACTCCTGAAGCTCAATTCCAGAAAAATAAATAACCCAATCAAAAAAGGGGTCAAAGAACTAAACAGACATTTCTCCAAAGAAGACAAACAGATGGCTAACAAACACATGAAAAGATGCTCAACATCACTCATTATCAGAGAAATGCAAATCAAAACCTCAATGAGGTACCATTACACGCCAGTCAGGATGGCTGCTATCCAAAAGTCTACAAGCAATAATTGCTGGAGAGGGTGTGGAGAAAAGGGAGCCCTCTTACACTGTTGGTGGAAATGCAAACTAATACAGCCGCTATGGAGAACAGTGTGGAGATTCCTTAAAAAACTGGAAATAGAACTGCCATATGACCCAGCAATCCCACTCCTGGGCATACACACCAAGGAAACCAGATCTGAGAGACACGTGTACCCCAATGTTCATCGCAGCACTGTTTATAATAGCCAGGACATGGAAGCAACCTAGATGCCCATCAGCAGATGAATGGATGAGGAAACTGTGGTACATATACACAATGGAATATTACTCAGCCATTAAAAAGAATACATTTGAATCAGTTCTAATGAGATGGATGAAACTGGAGCCCATTATACAGAGTGAAGTAAGCCAGAAAGATAAAGACCATTACAGTATACTAACACAAATATATGGAATTTAGAAAGATGGTAACGATAATTCTATATGCAAGACAGAAAAAATAGACACAGATGTATAGAACAGACTTTCTGACTCTATGGGAGAAGGCAAGGGTGGGATGTTTCGAGAGAACAGCATCGAAACATGTATATTATCAAGTGTGAAACAGATCACCAGTCCAGGTTGGATGCATGAGACAAGTGCTCGGGGCTGGTGCACTGGGATGACCCAGAGGGATGGGATGGGGAAGGAGGTGGGAGGGGGTTCAGGATGGGGAACACATGTAAATCTATGGCTGATTCATGTCAATGTATGGCAAAAACCACTACAATATTGTAAAGTAATTAGCCTCCAACTAATAAAAATAATTGGGGAAAAAAATAAATACAGAAATAGTATCAGAAAATTAGAAAAGCAAAACTCTTGATGTACAGCAAGTACATCTAGAATGTGGATATTATTAGTTATTTGAAATAAATTATAAGGAATTTTTAAAGATGAGAAGTGCTTACAATATGTTAAATGTGAAAAACAGGACCTATAAACTATATTAGCAGAGAAAGTATTGCACAGAAAAAAAAAAGACTAGAAATATTTTTAAAATATATTAACAGAAATTTTCAGACCTGAAAGATTATGAATATTTTTTTATTCTCTTTACTGAGCATGTACTACTTTTAAAATCAGCAAAGTAAAAATTTTCAGCAATTTTTAAAAGCATTTCAGTACTTTGATTATTTTCAGAATTCAATCTAGGTGAACATCACACAAAAAATTATTGCTGCTGTTATTAATATTAAAAATAATTAAGGTGGCTTAGTATAGAACTCTGAACTGAAAGTCATGAAACCTGTATTCTAGACACTTTTGAGCCATCCAATATCTCCCGGCTTTTTGACAAGTCATTTAACTTCTTTGAACCACCAGAAATTATCTCTGAGGTCCTTACTTGACTAATCCTCAGGTAAAATGAACTGTCAAATCTAAAGGTTGTTCGAGTCCTTTGCACAAACATCTAAAGTAAAACGGTGCTATAGTGCAAACTGTGAGGCCAACTCACATTACACACTTTATGGAATTCCTACCCATGCTGCTCTTCAATTCCTTCTGCAGATTGGTAGGACAGCTCTCTCAATAAACTTTCCAGTAAAAGAAGAGTTAGTTAGACCCTAAATGGTATTTGAAAGAAGCAAAAATATTTGGAAATCCATATATCATATGCCATATCTCAAAAAAAGGCATATGAGAATAGGCAAGACATGTGGTGCCCCAAAGGAATGGGAGTCTTTCGTAAATGGACTTCATCAATGCACACATGTAGAATTGAGAAAAATGGTACGGATGAAGCTATTTGCAGGGCAGGAAGAGAGATGCAGACACAGAGAACAGACTTGGAGGCACAGGGAGGGGAATGAGAGGGTGGGGTGAATTGAGAGAGCAGCACTGACATAGACGCGATCATGTGTAAAATAGATAGCTACTGGGAAGCTGCTATATAACACAGGGAACCCAACCCAGTGCTCAGTGAAGAATTAGAGGGGTAGGATGGGGAGGGGTGGAAGAGAGGCTATATATGTATACATAGAGCTGGTTCATGTTTTTATACAGCAAAAACAACACTGTAAAGCAATTACATTCCAATTTTTAAAAAACGACATAAAACCTTAATAAAAGTAAGAAGAGGTTACCTCTAATGGAGAGGAGAAGGTATTTGCTACGGAAAAGAAAGAAAAAGAATGAGGCAGAGAGGAAGAGAAGAGAGCAAAAGAGAGAAGCAAAAATACAGTGCTAATATAAGGACGTAACAAGAGCAGAAACATCTAAGTGCATGATGTATCTTAAAATTGCCCAGAAAAATCTATCTATTCCTTGACCAGCCTTCACCCATTCTGTCAATTTTGTTCCTTGTTAGCAAATCTGACAAAAATCTTTAAGACTATAAAAGGATAAATTAAATCTGGATAATATTCAAAAGAGATCCCTTCATTTTACAGGTTAGGAAAACTGAGTCCTCCAAGGAAAATACTGAGTCATAAAAGACCTTAAATTTGTACATTACTAATACCAATTATCCAATAATCTCTCTGCTGGAAAACACTTCTTGATGATGTCAGAGAGAAGGAAGCTCATGGTGTTCAGTGCCACAGAGTAAAATGGAATAAATTCAGATTTGGCTTTAAAACAGAATAAAGGTAAACAAACATTCTATACTTTAAACATGGGACAAGTACCCCTCTGGTCCTGGATTGGTTCTTTGTGCAATGTCAGGGCCTCAGTTTATACATCTTTAAAATGAGGAAATCTATGGCATATAGTTGCTAAAGTCCCTTCTTAGAAAGTTGGATAAGCCTAAAAATCATTGGAAAAAAGACATGCACAGGGAGAAGGGAAGTATGAAATACACCTGGAATGTGTATCCAATGTTGTTACTGTTCACTCAGTCATGTCCAACTCTTTGCAACCCCATGGACTGCAGCACGCCAGGCTTCCCTGTCCTTCACCATCTCCTGGAACTTGCTCAAACTCATGTCCATTGAACTGGTGATGGGATTCAACCATCTCATCCTCTGTTATCCCCGCTTTCGTGCTCTGCCATCCCCCATCTGTGCATCCATATGGTTGCTTGATGCAACAGTAGAATCCGTAGGGTACCACTCTCTGACCGGCTTGGAACACTTGAGGTCACTTTGTTGCAGTAGACAGCCACAGTCAACCAGAAGAGTCCCCTTTAGGCTGTACTCTCCTTTGTTTCCAGAGGCCAATTAAAAGTGTCCTCCATTTTCATCTTTTGAATCTACAATTCATATTTCCACTTTGAGAGGGCCCTGCCACCTGTCATTCATTCCTAGAATCTGTCAATTAACCACTAGACATTAATGCAAGGAGGCCTCCCTGGTGGCTCAAGGGTAAAGAATCCGCCTGCCAATGCAGGAGATGCAGTTCAATCCCTGGGAAGGGAAGATCCCCTGGAGAAGGAGTACTCTTGCCTGGAGAATCCCATGGACAGAGAAGCCTGGTGGGCTACACAGTCCATTGGGTTGCAAAGAGAAGGACACAACTTAGCAACTAAACAACAATAACAAATTTATGCAGCACCTACTTATGTGCACCCATCAACTAGCAAAACCCAAGTTTTCAACAAACATTTGTTGATTTGAACTTAATTGCATGGCCTTGGAAGGCTGCCTGGTATTCATCCATCCATAAGGCTGGTCAAAGAAGAAACCTTTTTCAACATCCCTGATCTAACACCTGCCACTCGTGTTCCTCCCGTTTTGTGTGACACGTGTTCCTAAGCACTGGCTGGGCTGCCAGGCACGGCTGCTGCAGGCAAAAGGGCTCTGTGAGGGGCGAGGTGGGCACTTACCTGGGGAACCTCTGCTTCAGCTTCCTCAGGCTCTGCCTGGTAGGCGGTACAGACACTAGGCACTGGGCTATCTCGTCGTACTGGGCTTTGGTCAGTATCATGTTGGGCCAGGGACAGGGAGATGACAAGGGAAAGGAAAAAGGACACCCTGGTCTCGAGCAGTCTTGCTGTTGACGGACGAGGGTGCGGACACAGCAGCACAGCGCGGTGTCCCCGACTTCCTGGGCCCCTAACCCCCTGCAACCCTGGGTGCACAAGCCAAGACTTCACCAGGCACCTCCGCGGCGGGAGGCGGGCTGTAGACAGACTGCCCTTTCTTGGCGTTCTGAGCAGCCGCAGTGGGCCCAGCCGAAGGCAGCCAGCCGCCATGTCAGTTAAGGGCATGCCAACCAGGAAGTAACGGCCGCAGGCAGAGGTGGCGCCTAAATCTCTAAGGGGAGGTCCCTGGGGATGGCCCACCTGGGATTTACGTGGGATGCTTTTGGCTTTAATGCCTTCTCTGTTGCCAGAAGCCAGGGAGTCCTGGCGCATCGATCAGGCAGCAGGGCTCACACGAGTCCGGGAAAGCGACTGCCAGGGCGCGCGATTTGAACACTCTTCCAACGCTTCCAAACGCGCACGTTTAACCCCAGCTCCAATCGGAGATAGGCCTGCAAAGAAACACGCCTTCTCTCAGCGAAAGACTCTTTGCGCCCTGGAAGCCTGAGAGGAGGAGCTGTAAAACCTCAAACCCACTAAGATCGTCATAGAGTTAAGAGCTTGGCTTGTGTCGAGGGAAGTAAAAAAAAAAAAAAAAAAACTTGTGCAGCTCGCGAGGAACACAATTTTGGCCCTGCTGGAAAAGAGACTAGAAAACAAAAGCCACATCATCAAACAGTAAAGAATATGACTGCAGTATTCAAACTGTAGTGAATATGACATTCACTCCTCACAATTAGGGGCCCAAGAAATGAAATCATTTCTTATTCATTTGCCAATTCCCAGTTCTCAAAAAATAGTAGAAAGTGTAGTCGCTCAGTTGTGTCCAACTCTTTGGGACCCTACGGACTGTAGCCCACCAGGCTCCTCTGTCCATGGGATTCTCCAGGCAAGAATACTCCTCCAGGGGATCTTCCCAACCCAGGTCTCTCGCATTGCAGGCAGATTCTTTATCAGCTGAGCCACCAAGGAAGCAACCCTCCCCCCCCACCCCAAAAAAAAATAGTAGGTGTTCGTTCAGTAAATATTTGGAGAAATAAGTCAGTGAAGAATTTATCTGTTTTGTATATGTGTTGTGGGTGGATCTCAGCTTGCCCGAGGCCATTGATTAGGACATTAGCCCCTCCTTTAATCCATTTAAAATAAATAAATCTACTTGGTTCTTAGAAGGCCATGTGCTATGTTTGTTTTCAAATTTTAACATTTTTATGAAAAAGTGTTTAGATATTATAGAATGTGTAAATGGTTATTTTGTTGTTCGTTTTAAAATCTGGAATAAGACCTGGGTTAGAAGTTTAGCTTAGATATGCCTCCTTAGATAAATTCTTTACACTGTCTAAGCCTCAACTCCTTTGTCTGTAAAACTGATTTTTAATTCATGGGGTTATTTGTAAGATTAAGTAAGATAGTACAATGACTGGATTCCTTAGCTTCCAGCAGATAGTCTATGGAAGATAAATAGCCTGTATAAGACAGTTGTCATGTCCAACTCTTTGTGACCCCATGGACTGCAGCATGCCAGGCTTCCCTGTCCTTCACCATCTCCCTGAGGCTGCTCAAACCCATGTCCATCGAGCCGGTGATGCCATCCAACCATCTCGTCCTCTGTCGTCCCCTTCTCCTGCCTTCAGTCTTTCCCAGCATCAGGGTCTTTCCCGGAGAGTCTCCTCATTGTGTAGGACTACTTGATGGTAATAGGTCAGGGCACTTACCAGGTGTCGTCTGCTCCCCACACTGTGACTATAATTTCCTAGGAGGCAGATACTATTGCCATTCTCCTCCTCCTCCTCCCTTTTGTGCAGGGTGAGTAAACTGAGGCATGAAAAGGGTAAGTAACCTCCCAGAGGTCATGAGAATGAGCAAGCAGCAGGGGTAATTTAAACTCCTGAAATTTGGTTCCAGGATCTGTGCTCATGCCAACTCTCAGTAATGCTTAATTACTACACCAAAGAAAGAAAGAAAAAAAACAAGTCACACTCTCTTAGGTCAAAGGTTAAGGGTTTTGGGGGGTTTTTTTTGAAAGGAGACAATGAATATTTCAAAGAATCTTTTAGTCCAAGTTTCAGAAAAGCTTCATCACTTTATTTTGCCAGGCGTCTCAAAGTCCCGTATCAACAGTGGATCCTGAATTCAGCAACCATAGATTCTTTTGAATATTTACATCAGAATGTTTCCTTCCCATATGCTTTGCATCTAGCTCCGGTTGTGTGACATTAGTACATAACTATTTATTTATGGCAGCATGGCCTGGAGTTGCCACCTGGCTAGTTTGTTGCTGACCCTGCCATGACTCTTACATGAAAGCTAGCTGACGATAAGCAGACACCACTTGATCCCCCATTCCTTTCTCCTTCCCCACTTCACTCTTCAATTCACAGCCAACAGATTTTTATAGAAAACATCAGTTCAAGGATGTTTGCACTGGATTATTTTTTATAGTAACTCTTCTCTCTGGCTCTTGTCCTGCACGCACCCTCACAACCCTAAAGGAAAAGGCCAGGTTTGTTTTTCTGTTTTTATTTTTAACGTGCTGGCAGTTTACAATTTTGACCCAAATCCAGTAGATTGTTTAGAGTTAGCGCCAGGGGAAAAAGCACAGTGATGTTACTGTTTTCATTGGCAATGACAGTAGTGTTGTTTATTAAGCACAAAATAGAAGCAAAGCAGAAACGTGATGGTTGCCATGTAGGTGTTTCTTATTTTCTTTGAACGTGAGCTAGTTGGAGTAAGCCAATTATTTGACACACGTTTTCTCCCTCTTTTGCCCCATCCTTTGAAATCCATTGTGACCTGCATCTGCTCTTCCTCCTTCTAGAGTAGTCTCCATGCCTGGAGTTGCCCCACTGTCTCTCAGTCTGTCGCTAATACCAACCATTTTCTACTAAGTAGGGTCATGAAATGAAAACAAAACCAAATAAAAAACCCAAAGAGCTGGCTACCTGTTTAAAATCAGCCATAAATTGTGTGACCTTGAGCAAGTGACAGCCTCTCTGATCCTGAATGTCCTCCATGTAACCCTAAGAAATGGAACTTTATAGTTCTGATAGGGAGAAAGAATCTATAAATATTTTAAAAGTGTAGGAAATCATAACAAGAAAACATGTCAAAATAAGGACTAATACAGCTCTCTGGAAGATGGTACTGAGTCAATAGCTTGACCAGATTTCCTTCTGCCAATTCGGGACCATGTGAATAACGAACAATTTTAAAGGAGTGTGGGGTTTGCCAGGGAGGTGACAGAAGGTCATTTCAAGAAGAGTGCAAAACACAATGGACTAAAAATAAGAATGAGCCAAGTCACGCGCATGGGAAAGTTATTCTGGCTGGAGCAAGGAGTTCTAGGCAGAGTGCAAATGAATTGAAGAAGCTTCACCTTGGAAAGAGACATGTTTTTAAACAGTCTCTTATTGAATCTGCCACATCTAATGCATGTTTTTAAAAGTAAACACTGATATATTATCTTTATTATATTTTAAAACCTGATTCTATTCATGGAAACTGGTTAAAATCATCTCACTGATTACTTTAAAGAAAAATTATTGAAATTTACTAACTAAATAAAGAAGGCGCTTATTATTTAAGCACCTCGTCTGCTCAAACATTGTCCCATTAGCCCCTGATTTATAGTTTAGGAAACTGAGGGTCAAAGAGAGTAAAGGACTTGCCTAATGTGTCTAGTTAAGTTGCAAAACTATGATTTGGACCCAAGTTAGTACAACTATAAAACCTCATTTTCTCCATCATATTGTACTAGAATTCAAAAATGAAAACCTTTGGTTGAGATATCCTCAGTTAATCATTTATGCTTTGAAATAGCCAGCTACTTTCTTTGGCCACAACCAATGCCTGCTGAAGAGGCAGTGACCTTCAGTATTGACATTTAGACACTTGAAAAAAATTGTCTGGCCTCTTTGACTAGAAGAGACAGCATATATTTTTGACTTTGCCTTATGAAGTGCCATCTAAAGTGATGCATCTTTTGAAACAAAAGTTTCCATCTTTATACTTGCCACCAAGTCATTTTATCGTGTGTGTGTGTGTGTGTGTGTGTCCGCGCGTGTATGACTCTTTGTGACATCATGTTCTGTACCCCTCCAGGCTCCTCTGTCCATGGAATTCTGTAGGCAAGAATACTGGAGGGGGTAGCCATTCTCTTCTTCAGGGGGTCTTCCTGACCCAGGCGGGGATTGAACCCCAGTCTGCCACATTGCAGGCAGATTCTTTACCGTCTGAATCACCAAGGAAGCCCCATTTTATCATAGTCCCCAAATAATACAGATATTTAGTAAACAATAAAGATCAGAATAATGCAGTTATTGAGGATCAGAGCAATCACTCAATTTAAGGAATTGAGGAAAACCAAAGGAAACATAGAGAAAGACATATCACACCAGGATGATGGAGCAGTTACACCAAATAGTCCTAAGACCAAAAATCACATATTGATTGCTTGTGCAAGTCAATGATGAATGAACTCCTAGCCTGTCAAGTGAAGTGGCCAGATTCCAGAGACAGGTTACATGTTGAAGGGGTTATTCACCAATGACCTATTACAAAACTAAAACTGTGTCCCATATGCACATAATTTAGAAGGGCACCTCCCAGGTCTTACTTATTCAATAATTCTAAGAGCCAGTGTTGTGGGGGGTACTTTCCAAGGGTAGGCATCATACTAAGCACCTTACATATATCTATTTTCACTTCATTCTCAAAGCCAGCCTCAAGAGGTAAGTGCTATCGTTAAATCCATTTTCTAGGTGAGAAGACTTAGACTTACAGAGGTGGTTTCTATGTAACTCCTCAAATATTTTATGACACTCTAGAATAATGTTTCTCACAGTATCTGTGTTGAGGGCCTAGTTTTCCCCAGATTTGTCATAGACAAATGCTTCTGTAAAATAAG